CTTGTTTTTTGAGACAGGGTCTCGCTATGTAGCCCAGCTGGCCTTGAACTAGCAGATCCTCCTGCCTCGGCCTCCTGAGTGCTGGGATTACAGGTGCACCCTGTCACGTGTGGCTCCTAGTGTGGTTGCTATGGGCAAAGCACACTTGGGAAGGTGCCCAGGGGTGCTCCCCTGTCCTGCAGCACGGCGAGCAATGTCCCGTGATTGTGTGCGCCTGGTGCAGCCTGCCTCGGCCTCTGGCCCCTGCACTGAAGACTGGAAGGAAACAGGTTCCTACCGCTCTGCACAGAAGGAGAGGTGCTCCTGCTGGACTCCTCAGTTCTGGTTTGGGGGACTTCTGCTCGGGAACAGGAGCCCCAAGGGCCCCTTTCTGAGCAGGACTCTGAGCACCCTGAGCTCGGGTGGCCTCAGCCCTGCTCACGGCCCCCACCCTTCTTCCCAGCAACCTCCCTGCCTCAGCCTAGCCTCCGAGTGCACAAGGAGGGCCGAGGAGGCTGTGGGGCAGCCACTCAGGCAGGGGCCAGGTCCCTGCTATCACTGCTCTGTGGGCCGTCACTGCGGCCCCCAAATGAGTCCCCTCCTCCAGCAGACAACGCCAGCCTGAGGCAGGGCCCAGCCGGCTGCAGGGAGCAGGTCCTGGGCACCAAGCGGCCACCACGTGCCTCTGCCCCTCTGGGGGAGCAGGCCGTCCCTACCCCAGGTCAGCTGCCGGGAGCCATCTGCATGACAAAGGCGCGGCCTGGTGGACGCTGGAGCTGGGGCCGCAGCTGCCCGCTAAGCCTCACCCGCAGCCTGGAGATTTGGGGGGGCGGGGGCAGCACGAGAGCCCAGCTCAGCTGTGTTTGCTGGGGCTCCACGCAGGGTGGGGGACAAAGGCCCGGCCCCTGACCCCACAGGTGGCACGGGGGAGGGGAGAATGTGCCGGGAGGGAGGGCCGACTGGCCAAGGCTCAGGTCCCAGGGCTGGGCAGCTGGGTCCAAGCATCCTTTCCCCACCCGCGCCTGGGTGCAGGAACCACTGCCAGCCCAGCCCCTTCCCAGCTCCCCAGTGTCCCCAGCTCTGGCTCCCATGGCTGTGGGATGGTTTGCCTCTCTGTCCCCACCCCTGCCTCCTTCCCTGTGCCCACCTGGCCAGCAGTGGCTCCGCCTGGACCAGTGCAGTAGCCTGGCAGCCTCCTTCCGTGCTATCAGCCTGCCCTGTTAATAGTCCATTCTCTGACAGCAGCCAAGCCTTCAGCTTTATCCATTCGTTCAGGATCTCACTATACAGTTTAGGCTGGCCTCATACTCACGGCGATTCTCCTGCTTCAGCCTCCCAAGTACTGGGACTGTAGGTGAGCACTACCACACCCAGCCTGAGCAGCCTGTTGGAAGCAGAGCCAGGGATCTCTCGCTTCTGTGCCCAATCTCAGAGGGGATCTGGACCCTCGCAGCTGGCACAAGTCCCCTCAGCCACTCCTAGTCCAGTCCCCACCTCTCCCGCAGACCAAGTCCCAGCCCTCCTCAGGGTCTGCAGCCACAGGGCCTTTGCACGGCTCTGGGAGACACTTGCCCCAGGTATGTGGCCTCACACCCTCATTTGCATCAGCCTCTGCCCTTGCCAAGCCCTCGCTGGCCTTGGCCCCAAACCTCAAACTCTTCCTCTTGCCTTGTACCCAGCTGTTTTTCCCCTTGGAGCTCTGGCTGCTTGACCTTTGCTGGGTGTCACTTGGTCATTTCAGTCCCCGGTGGACACAGCAGACTGCAGCCGACTTTGCAGCCCTGAGTTCTGTTGTGGTGCCTGTGAACCAGCAGGTGATCATTAAGGATCTGTGGCTGGATGAATGAATAAATGAAATCATTTACTCCTCCACTGCAAGCCTGTGACACAGTCATGGCCGTCTCCCCGTCACAGGTGACCACAGCCAGGCCCCTGCATGCAACTTGCCCCCGGGGCCCACAGTACTTGAGTGTGGGGCGTGGGATTTGAACCCAGGCCATCATATCCTCGTAGCAAAGCTGGCTCAAAGCCTCCGGATTTAAAAGTGGCCACAGGTGACTCAGTTTCTTTCTGGAACTTCAAGCCACACAAAGCAGTTTGAGGCCAACACCTGCACGGCGGCTTGTAGTTCTGACCTCACAAGGACGTCATCTTAGTTGCTCCGTAGGCTAAGGCAGAGGTTGCTGTCGCCCCTGCAGGCCGGAACTCTGGTGGAGCTCTCCCTGCCCCGCCAGCCTCTCTTCGCACCCCTGTGCCCTCCTCCCGCTGTCCCTCTGCCTGGAACCCTTTCCTACCGTCCTCGGCTGTCACCGGAGAAGCCGGCCCTGTCCACGCTGGCCGAGGCATCTGCTGCCCATGTGGCCATGAGTGAGCACAGGCAACAGGTGGGTCCCCGTGTGTCCCTGTGAGACGGTGACACTGTGGCCGCGTGTGACTCGGGCAGCTGGTCCTCTGCAGCCACGCCAGCTCCCAGGGGCTCGGGTGGCGGATTCCGCGTCCCTGCTGACCCGGCCAGAGGCACAGGCGTGAGCAGGTGAGCAGCTGCCCCAGGTGGCTATGGCAGGGACCTGGTCCTGCCAGTGGTGCTCTGGGCCCAGGGCCCAGGGCCACCGTGCCGGCAGACGCCCTCTTCCGCTGGTGTCCCTTGCCCGCCAGGGTCCTCCGCCTCCTCCTGGCAGTGCCACATTGTGTGTTCCTACGCCGGAATGGACTCATGGGAGGACAGGGACCCTCTGTGGTCACTACCCCGGGCCGCAGGGTCCGAGGCATTCCTCCAACACAGGGGAAAGTGGAGGAGGTGGCTGTGCCCCTCACTGGCCAGGGGAGGGCTGCACTCCTGAGGACAAGAGGCCTCTGCCTGCCTCCGCTTTCCTTGTCCCAGCCACTGGCTCTGACCCCACCCTGGCACTGAGGATTGAAACCAGGGCCTTCACACGGATTGACGCCCCAGCCTTTTATTTCTTATTTTGAGACAGGGTCTCACTGAGTTGCTAAGTTGCTCAGGCTGGACTCAAACTTGTGATCCTCCTGCCTCGGCCTGTCGAGTGTTGGGGTTATAGCATCTGGAGGGGTCCCCACACCACCCCCTGCCCAGGCTGCTGTGACTCCAGTCCATGAGGCAGGATGGCGGCCACCAGCTGCACAATGGTTCTCAGAGACCTGGAGGCTCACTATCTAAGAAGCCTCCACAGCCATGGTCTACAGTAGGACTTGGGGTCTGGGTGGGGGTACATCCTCCTCTGACTGGGCAGGGACTTCTCCCTGAGGACAGTGGTAGCAGGATCAACCTACAAGCATCAGCCTGGGAGACAGTTATGGGAGTACACATCTGTAATCCCAGCCCTCCTGGGAGGCTGAGGCAGGAGGATGCAAGTTCATGCCCAGCCTAGGGATCTTAGCCACTTAGCAAGACCCTGTCCTAGAATACAGAATGAAAACAAGCTGGGGGATGTAACAGTGCAAAGGTCCTGGGTTCAATTCCCCAGTGCTGAGAGAGAGAGAGAGAGAGAGAGAGAGAGAGAGAGATGGGCCTGTCACCCCAAACCCTCAGTGTGACCTGGACATGTACAGGGCATCTGCAGGGGCCCAGGCAGGGGCAGCCCGGGCCTCCCTGCGTGTCCCTGTGTGCCAAGGGCAGCACCATCCCAGTACCCTGTGTGATGTGGGTCACGGCCCCAGGCCTCTGCCGGTTGCACCACCAGTGTGTTTCTGGGTCCTCAGGGGCTTCCTTGCCTGGGAGCCCCTTCAAACCTGACCAGAGCCCGGTGCCCAAACGGGGGCCTTTGTCCCTTTCTGAAATGACAAGAGACAACAAAAGGGCTTTTAATTAAATCAAAGGAGGGGGAAATGGGCCAGCCGGGCCGCTATTATGTTACCAAATGTGAAAATGAAAACTTTTTTTAAAGCTCTGGTATTAATTTGAGATTATTCAGATAGTTAATTAAAAGTGCCGCATGTGTTAAATATTATTTCAACAGAGATTAGCATCAGCCCTGTAACGAGATCCCCGCGTGGGGCTTTATGCAAATACAGTGCTGGGGCCAGGCTGTGGCAGTGGCCCCAATGGCCCTGGTGGCCTACCGTGGTGGCTCCCAGCCCAGTGGGGTTCCCAGGTCCAGGGACGGTGGCTGCATCCTGTGGTGTGTGATGCTGTCACGGGCTGGGACGCTGGGGGTCTGTGTTGGAGGGGGTGGTGCCATGCCCTTGCACACATATCCTTGCACCCCACTGTCATGCACGGCACTGCCCAGGGTGGCCCACACATGTGCTGAGCAAATCGTGTCACCGTCTAGGGCTTCATAACAGCCTGCCGCAAAGGATGCTGTGGGGACAGAGTGGGTGGCCCTGTCCTGCGGGCACAGAACATGAGCCAGGCTGCGGGCCAGAGGAGTAGCTGAAGCTTCTCAACAGCCACACGTTAAAAACATTTTTTGGGCCGGGCGTGGTGGTGCACTCCTGTAATCTCAGCACTCGAGAGGCTGAGGCAGGAGGATCACTGTGAGTTTGAGACCAGCCTGGGCTACATAGTGAGTTCTAGGTCAGTCTCCACTACATAGTGAGACCCTGTCTCAAATAACCAAAAAACAAAACAAAACAAAACAAAACAGCAAACCCCAAAACAAAACATTTTTGGGGGTACTGCAGATTGAGCTCGGGACCTTGTACTTGGAAGGCAGTGCAGCGACACTGAGCTACATCCCCCGGCCCAAAAACGTGTTTTGAGACTGGGTCCCACTGTGTACCTGGCTTCAAGCTTGAGATCCTCCTGCCTCAGCCTCCCTAATGCTGGAATCACCGGTGTGCGCCACCATGCTGGGCTATGACCACCCATTTTAAAAACAAAAAGATGGCTGGGTGTGGTGGTGTGCACCCTATAATCCCAGCACTCTGGGAGGCTGAGGCAGGAGAATGGTGAATTCAAGCCCAACCGGGGCAATTTAGCGACTTAGTGAGACCCTGTCTCAAATATAAACAAGCAAACATAAAATGAAGTTAATATTCACATTTTATTTAAGCCATTATATTCGGGATATTGTTACATCCACATGTGATCAATAAAAAAATGATCATGCCAGGTGTACAGGCCGGTAAAGTCCCAGCACTCGTGGAGGGTGAGGCAGGAGGACTTGAAGTTCAAGCCCACCCTGGACAGTTTAACAAGGGTCTGCAAAACCGTCTTAAAATAAAGGAAAAGGGCTGGGGATGCAGCTCAGTGCGAAGACCCTGGGTTCTGGAAAAATCTCTAGGAGCTGCTGTAGAACCTGTTTCTCAGCCACGCTTTAAAGCCAGTGCGTCTCGGGTCCCAGAGTATTCAGGCCCAGGAGGGGACCCCGCGGGCTCCGGCTGGGGCAGGTGCAGCCGGAGGTGGGGCATGGGGCACAGAGACCCCCACGCGGTCCCATCTTCCTGGTCTCCTGTGCCCACCACTGCGGAGCCGCATCTGCCGCCTAGGGTCTGGGCCGCTGCTGCCCTCTGTGGGCGAAGGGTGGCAGCGCAGCGCTCCCTGCCACCCGCCCCGCCCCACCGCGTTGTCACAGCCTGGACCTCCTGGGGGGGCGGGTGGGGGTAGGTTGGAGTGGGGTGCTGGAGCTGGGAGCCGCCAGGAATCCAGGTCCAATCCTGGCCCTGCCCCTCTTGTCCCGATCCTGGGGCAGGTGACAGCCACTCTGAACCTCAAAGGTGTTCCGCTGTAGACTGGGAGTGATGATGGCCCCCCTGGTTGGGTCCTGAGGGGCTAAGTAGAAAGATAACTCCGTTTGTAGTCTTGTCCTAGTACCCTGTGAGCATCCAGGACCCGACCTGACCCCAGGGCCTTTGCACCGGTGCCCCACCTTGAGTCCCTCCTGCTGCTGCTGGGCGGCCTCTCCCCTTCCTCCACCATCGCCTCTCACAGGTCTCCACATGGGACTGGATCCTGAGTGTCAGGGTCCTGGCCTCCTCTATGCTGCCCCTGGACAGGTGTCCCCTAGGGCAGGGCCTGCTGTCCTGTCGGTTTCCTCCTACCTCACACAGTGAGGGTCCCGAGTAGGCTCCTGTGCACAGAGTGTGTGGACTGAAGAATAAAAATGTGGAGGCTGGGATAGGGAAGCACTGGGCAGTGGCCTGCAGTTCTTTCTGCAGGGAATGAGCGCTGCCTTCCACCCCTGCCCGTGCCCAGGGTCTCCCTGGGAAATGGGCTCCGGTCCTCAGCAGTTACTCGAGGTCACCTCAGGGTGGGAGCACCGTACGCCTGCAAGGGCCGGTGGTTGGAGAAACTGACAGCAGTGCGGGCACAGCAGAATGTTATGCAGCCGCGAACAAGCTGCGATTCGGGAGTGCAGGACGTGTGGAAAGCCCCGCTCCCATGGGGGCTGAGAGCCACGGCGCAGCGTCCTGGGAGAAGCAAGGCCAGGATGGGGCGGGCACTGGGTGATGGGGTGAGGTTGATCGCCGTGTGGGTCTTCCAGAATCAGAAGGACTGGTCTAACGGGGCGATTTCTACTGTATTTAATAAACAACTTAAAAGAAAACGGTCACAGAGTTGGGACTCACTCAGAATTGTGGAGTGACTCAGTCCCACTGGTTTGGGGGAAGGTAAAGAGAAGAGGCTGCTGATGAGTCCTGCCGGGCTTGTGGTGGGGCCTGGGTGCTGCCCAGGTGCTGTGTGAGCTGCTTCCAGGGCCGAGACTTGAGGGGCCTACGGGGGTCCCGAGGGGAAAGCTGGGGCTCCCTGCTCCACACTCCTGCTCTCCCTTCTGCCCCAGTGGCTATCAGACTGCAGGATGGGACTGTGGCCCGGCCTCCCTGCCAGTGTCCAGGCTTGGGAGTGACCCCAGAGCTGTTTGTACCGGGGCTTCCTCACCCGTCAGTCCCTCTTGGAGAAGCTGCAGCTTGGGGAGTAGGGGGGCGGGTGGGGTCCGGGTGCCTCCTCCCATCGGGACTGATGGAGACCTGGTGGGCAGGAAGCAAGGAGGCGCCCATCGGCCTCACCACCACGTTCCGGTCTCGGGTCCGCCTTTGACTTGTGGGCGATCTGTTGATTGTCTCTTGGAACAGAATTAAAGCACACACACTGTGAGGCCAGCCCGCCCTCGCCCTCCGCCGCCCTTGCCAGCCCTCGTAGTGGCAGCTCTGGTGTCACGTTGGAGCGCACCCTCGCCTGTCCTTTCTCTACACAGTTGCACATAGGTGCTGCAGCCACAGAGCACGCACGGTCCTGCTGTGTGGGGCTTCCTTTCTGTCTACAAGGTGTCATTCAGCTGGGGGCCTCTGTACCTCTTGCTCTCATATTTTCAGGATTTATCAGTAGCACTCATGGTGTTCCTCCTTTTACCCGTCACGGCAGATTCCACTCATGCTTATATGTGGCAGCGGCACCGTGTGCACGCCACCTGGACGAACACTGGGTTTGCTCTCCGTTTCCGACACAGCGGCCACCAGCATCCCTGTTCCTCCTCTGCACACCAGTGGGTGGTGAAGCAAGCTAGGCAGCCCGGCACTTTCAGCCTAATGGAGGAGGCAGCGGCCCCCACTCCTCACCAGCACTTGGTAGGATCCAGCTTTTGCATCTTTACTGGGTCAGTAAACCCAAGGAGGCTCCTCTTGGAGCTCTCACTTTTGGGAAGGTGGAGGGTGGGGTGCACCGTGCTGAGTGCTGTGTACCCCCCAGGAGGTGGTGTGGAGGGACCTGGGGTCAGGGTGGGGAGCAAAGGCCCAGGGGTAGGGATAGAATGGGTGGGGAAAGGCACAGTGGCCACAGCCCTGGCATCGTGTGCTCCCGTCTTGCTGTACCCCACCAGGGTGTGAATGCACCTCCAGCCCAAGGCTGGCCTTGGACAGCCGCCTCCCTCTGGGGCCCCTGCCTCACCCTGGATGTCTGGGGACCAGGCCAAGCCTGGAGGGAAGGTGTGGGACACCTGGAGACGTAGCAGACTGGATGAGGGTTGGCTGGAGAGGGAGGTGCGGTCCTGGGAGGGCTGGGTGGGGGAAATAAGAAGGGAGGCCCTACAGCAACTGCTTTGCTGTGCACCCGACCACTGCCCCGTGCCTGGGCCCACAGTGGTAACTTGAGACAGTGTTCTCAGTGTTCCTTTCCTAGCTCCCATCTCCTCTGCCCATCCTGGAGTCCCGGTCTTGTCGGCTTCTGAGGGCCCAACCCTGCCATCCACTTCATAGCATGACCATGAATGAGGGCATCAGTCACATCTTCAGTGTCCAGAAGGTCACACGCATGGGGAAGAGCAAAGCTGAGCTGGGCAGAGGTGTTTATTGAGGTGCACATTGGCCGGCGGGGCGTGCAAAGGCCCGGGGGCAGGGTGAGGGGGCTGGGCAGAGGCAGGATGGGCTGGGAGGGCTTTCAGCTGAAGAGAGGGGAGACCACAGGCTGGAACTCAGTCCCTCTACCCCCTGCTGCTTGCAGAGAACAACACAGGAGCTGGGCTGAGGGGGGCCAGGCAGAGGAGACTGCAAAGGTCCAAGCAACAGATGCATGGGTCGAGGTCTGAAGATGCAATGAGAAGACTGGGGGTTGGATGAGGCTCTGGGACAGAGGGGTCACATCCTGATGTGACCAGCAGCTCGTGGGGGAAAACTGAAGCGCAGAGAAGCCGCTCGAGGTCTTGGTCAGCAGGTGCCCCAATGGAGTTTGGAAGTACAACACTTTCATTTCTGTTTCTTTCCTTTCCTCCTTCCCTCCCTCCTTCCTTCCTTTCCTTGTGTCTCTTCCATGCTAGGATAAAACTGAGCCCCACCCAGCCCTGAACCTGCCAATCAAAAGTGCTGCCCAGAGCTAGGCGTGGTGGCACACGCCTGTATTCCTAGAACTCTGAGAGGCTGAGGCAGGAGGATCATAAGTTCGAGTCCAGCCCAGGAAACTTAGTGACTTAGTGAGATCCTGTCTCAAAATAAAAAAGCTCTTTTTAGAGCTGAGAATTTAGCTCAGTGCAAAGGCCTTGGGTCCAATCTCCACCCCACCTGCCCTCCATAAAAAACCATAAGCAACAAAAATGAAAGTGCTAGCCTGGCCCACCCACCTGGCAGGACAGCTGTGCGGCAGGGCCCAGGGGTGGGACGGGGGTGCTGGGACCGACAGGTGCTGAACCTCTGAGCCTGCGGGTGGCTGTGTGGGCTCGGGGTCCTCTGTGTCTGGGGGAGAGGAGCAATGGGCCGCAGGTAACAGCCCCTGGAGTCCCTCCTGACCCGGGCAGGGCCGACGCGCCGAGTCAGGAAGCCGGCAGGAGTCGCGCTGCCCACCTCTGCCTACCCCTTGGGTGACGTCCTCCCCCGTGCTGTCCGTGTCCATCCGTTCATGCTGACGACGACGGCCACAGCAGCTCGAGTTCACACCGCCCGCTCCACACCCACTGGAAGGGCTCCTGCCGTGAACACAGCGACAGGTGGGGCTGCCACGCACACCGGGGAGCGGGAACGTCACCGGTCACCATGCAGGCGCGGGGGTGACATGGGCTCTGCTCCTTCGAGTCCGGCGCTGGTCTCAGGCCGCGTGGGGACAGCTGGGTCTGCAGCCGCAGAGCCCCAGGCCACAGCACCATCCAGGCTGCGGTCACCCTAGTGACGCAGTAGGGAGGGCAGGGCTCTGAGTCTGCCCAGGCCCCGGGGCCTCTGCCCAGCTGAGTGGCCTCAGTGTCCCCACCCGAGAAGTGGGGAGCCCTGCCAGCCATCCTCACCTTCCGGCCACTGGGAGATTCTTATCTGGCTATTAGCCGTGCCCATGATGGTGACAACTGTCCCTCCTTATCACACCTGCCTGGTCCTATCCTCGCCAGGTCTGTGCCTGGGGCCCTGAGCAGTGCGTCCTTCCCACCCCTGATCCAACCATTGGGGCACACGGGAGGGGAGGCCCGGGGGCCCGAGCATGCGGGGTGCCCATGGGGCAGGGGTACAGACAAGGAGGGTGCGGGGAGCTATTGCCCCACCATTGCCAGACCCGCCTGTGACTAGAAAGCCGGTTGCTCCATTCCACGCCACACCCATTACACAATAGTCCTGCCTGCTGCCAGCCGTGCCCACAGCCAATGGGAGCTGTCCTCTTCCTGGGGCCTGGAATGGTGGCCTGCAAGATCTCATGTGGGTCCTCGAGTGCCCCGGATGCCCAGAAGCTCCCTGCCATGCAAGCCTTGCACGGGCCCTGGCCCTGCCCAAGGTCCACGCCCTCTGTGGTCACAAGGGTGCCTGGCCACCCACACCTACGTGCCGAGGACCACATCGAGGCCTCCAGCCCTGCTGTCTCCACCAGGCCTTCCATCCCCAGCTCCCCATGGAACGCAGAACCGCGCAGCCCAGGCCATGGCCACGCAAGCTGAGGTTGTGCCCTGGAGCCTGGGCCCACAGAAGGGCAAGAGCCTTCCACACCTCCCAGCAGGCTCACCAGGAGATCTGCCCCACCCTGCCGCCTCCTCCCACACCGCACCACACAGGACCTGGCTGGGGACCTTCTGGGTCACAGCTTCCCCGGGACAGCAGGTCCTCCGCAGACACTGCCACGTGGAACCCTGAGCCAAGGACAGGGACACAAAGTGGGGAGGCGCTAGTGGTGTGACCAGAAGGGCAGGGAGAAGGCTGGGACGGTAGGAGAGGCAGTGAAGATGGCGATGGGAGGAGGAAGGCCAGGACCGAGGCTCACCGTGGCGTCGGGCAGGCCCGTGACACTGTGGTTCTTGTGTCTGTGACCCTGGTGGTGACCGTGGGTACACAGGCTGCGATGCAGCCCTGCTGGGGGAGGGAGTCTCTGTTCAGGGAGTGTGGTGAGAGCTGAGGTGCTGCCCTAGTCCTGCGGCTGAGCATTTCGGGGCCTCCCCTGGTGCTGACCCCCGGAAGTTTGTCCCTTCCCGTCTTCTAGGCCCCCGACCGGAGCCCTGTTGGTCTCCTCGGCCTCCTTGGGAACTTAGGGAAGGGGTCAGTGTAGCCAGCAGGTAGGTGTCCTGTCCGGGGATGCTCCCGTAGCGAGGGGAGCTGGAGCCCGCAGGGCCCTGGGTCCAGGGAGGGGTGACACCCTTACCCCTCCCTCAAGGGAGCTGCACCCGGGAGCCTGGCTGTGCGGGCTGAGGGGACAGGCGGCGGTGGTGCATGTGCTGGGGGGCCCCCTCGGAGCCCAGGCCGCCTCTGGGGCCCTTGTGCTGTGACAAGCAGTGTGGTGCTGGCCACAGGTGTCCTCGCCCCCGGAGGCCCGGGCGGGCCCTGGGTGGCGCGGTGGCCAGTGGAGCCAGGCACCTACAGGGCCCATGTGGAAGATGAGCCTCAGCAGTGTCTCTGGGGGTGAGGTGTGGGCCGGGCTTGGCCTAGCACCCCAGCAACCAGGCCGGCAGGGCTCCGGGGGCCTTTATCTGGGGCCCCAGCTGTGGCCACGGGAAGTGGCCATTTCTGCAGCACTGTCCCGTGGGGCCGTGATAAGGTGAGGGCGGCATGGGGATTGAGCAACAGCCGAGCAGGGGGGCAGGGCCATGTGACCTGGGACCTGTGGCCTGGGTGGGGACGGTGTGGGTCCAGGCCGCCCTCCCGCTGGCCAGCACACAGGCAGCCTCAGTCAAGCAGGAGCACATCTTAGGGCCTCTGCCCAGGCTGTCCCTACTGGTCATCAGTGCTCCCCGCGCTTCCCGCTTCCTCTCCCCGCTCCTGTCCGCCTAGAGGGCCCCTCCTCTGTGCTCCCATATCCAGCCAGTGGTGCCCGTCCAGGCCCCCCCAGCCCCCAGCCGGCCCCCTTCTGCAGCGCCCACCCCACAGGAGACCACCTGGGTCTCTGGAATCCCCACCTGCGCCCCTCGCATGTCACCCCGTTCGTTAGGTGCAGCATCCCAGCGCCCCACTCCCGGCCCAAGCCTGCTGCTGAGCTGCGCTAATTAATGGCTCAGTTTTCAGCTTCACGTTAATTACTCTTTCTCCGCAGGCTGGGGTGAGGGAGTCCTGCGGGCCCAGCAGGGACTGGAGACAGAGCTGTGACCTCATGGGGGGGGGAGCAGGCTCCCACCTGCCACGCCCTCGCCCCTCCCCAGCACCACCTCACCTTGTCCAGGTGGCCCCTACTGGGAGGCTGCCCCACACCCCAGTGGGAAGCACAGCACAGAGGAGGCTGAAGTAGGAGCTGGGAGGCTGGCGCCTGGGAACGCGGACCTCACGTGGACGCTGCCAGGGCAGAGGACAGGGACCTGGACCGCTGTAGGGGCCACAGTAAGCTCACCTGGCCGAAGGCCCTGGCGCTGACTTGCCCCTCCAGCACAGGTGATGACCCCATCTCCTGGAGGTGCCCCCAACTGCGTGCCACACCGGCATGCACTGGACCTCCCACGGCAGGTGCCCTCCTGTGCACACAGAAGTGGGGACACCTGTACAGGGTGCAGGACAGCAGGGCCATAGGCGGGGAGAGCAGAATCTCCCGGCTGGCGCAGAGCTCCCTCGTTATCTGCGGAACTGTATTAACCCGGAAGGCTGTCCCCGTTCCCATCAGCCCAATTCCGACCCCAGCCGCCACTTCCAGATAAGGCTTATCTCCCACTGTGCGCTAGCTTCAGGCCTGCCCATCACGCCGGCCCCAGCCCACCTGACTTTTCTTGTGGGCAGGGGTGGGGTGGGGCACTGTGCCCTGCCCCCTAAGCAGTGCCACAAGGATGCTGGGGCAGAGGTCCTGGGATCACCGGACCTGGGTTCCAACCTCACCCCTGCCCGAGGCATTGAGGTGCAACCCCTGCAACCCCACCCGAGGGTGGACGGACAGGTCCAGCTTGAGTACGTGGACGGTGGAAGTGTCACCCGAGGTGTGAGAGCCTGCAGCGGACACGTATGCCCGCTGGAACGGCTGCCACTCCCACCCCTACTCCCCACCCAGGCTGCGCCCCACACTCGAGGCTGAGCACCCTGGCCCACACCAGGGATGGGCACTCCGGGTTCTGCGATGCCAGGGCCTCTCCCGGGACAGTCTCTGTGTGTCCTTGGGCACAGTGAGCTGTTTGCTGCCCACTGCAGGGCCTGGGGCTGCTGGGATCCCATGATGGCTGCCCTACCTGAGCGCAGGTGTGGGGTCCCTGCTCTTCTATGTGCCTCTCCCGAAGCCTCTCTTTCTGGAGCTTCAGATGGGACTGGGGGTGGGGGGCTCAAAGGCCCCAGAGATGGCTGTGGAGCCACACAGGCTGCACTGCCCCTCATGGGCTCTGAGTCTGCCTGTCACAGAGGGGCGATGGGTGCTGGCCTGCCCCAAGCTGAAGGGAATGGTATGGCCAGCCCTGTGCCCGGGCAAGTCCCTGCCCTAGAACAACCCTATGCAGCAGCTGGTGCTCTTCTCCCCATTTCGCAGCAGGGACACGGAGGCATGGGGCTCGGGACTTACCCAGAGTACCCAGAGCAACCCAGGCCCAGTTTTCAGGATCCCTGAGAAGGGCAGGGAGGAGAGCCTGGCCTCAAGCCCTCTGGTCAGAGAGGCACTGGATTCAGACCCATGTCCATCTTCAGTGGCAGGAGCCGGTTCCCTTTTTTCCCCCGGGAGCTGACCATGCTGGGGGACTTGGCTTCTGCCAGGCTGAGCCACAGGCCTGACCCGGGCCCAGCCTGTCCCCACCAGGCTGCTGTCCTTTCACATGACCCAGCAATGGACAGGTGGGCAGAGGGGCCTGGTGGGGACAGACTGGCTCAGCCCCCCTGGCACTGCAGTGGCACTGCCTTTCGGGGGACCATCCTACCAGGCCCGGTGGGGCCGAGTCGGAGGGCACAGCACCTGGTACACAGTGTCCACCTGGGCAGTGGCAGAGGTGGCTGGAGATGAGCTCTGCTGGCCCTGGCCGCCTGCAGCAGCAGCAAGCACAGTGGTGGTGTACACAGGACGCACCCTGATTCTCCAGGCTCACTCCAGCGGGCACCGACCAGGCAGAAGCAGGGCACATCGTGACCCTAGTGGATAAGGGCGGGGCCTGGCCCCTGTGGAGGCTGCAGAGCCCAGCTTGGCCACCCTCTGGCTCCCAGTTCCCACCCCACCCGCTGGCTGGGTCCCGGCCAAGGCTGGTGCCGGTTGGCTGGGCCGGCTGCCACTGCTGGGCTCCCTTGTAGTGCGAGGGGCTTGGCTGTATTCAATTAGGGGCTGCCTGGCCACTGTGCACAGGGACACTGTGTTCCACGCTCCCTTTGCCTCTGCCCTCAGCTCCAGGGCTTAATAGCCCCAAGTCATTTGATCGCAACCTGCCCTGGTTAATATTTTTAATGCCATTTTTGCAAATTAAAACATAATGCACCGATTACCGGGATAAAAGAGAGGCCTCTGTGTCCGTCTGGAGGCCAAATAAAGGAACGCGTGAACATCTGTTCACCGCAGTGTCCTGAAAGCTTCCATTTAGCCCTTAGCTGGGTGGTTCCACCTTGTTACCTCTCTGAGATCCCCGAGACTGGGTACCAGGTGGGCCGCAGGGACATGTGGCCCCTGAAGGCAAGGGCAAGGGCCTGGGGAAGCTTGGGTCAGGGTGGAGAATCCCTGACCTGCTGTTCCTCCAAATCCAGCTCAGGTCACAGGGACGGCCCACCTGGCACCCAGCCAGCCACCCCTCCCTCAAGGCCTAGGACACCCCAGGAGACACTATAGTCCTTGGGTGCCTGGGGGCAGACCTGGGCCTGACACAGACACACAGACTGGCAGACAGGGCTGGGACCACGGGGCATTTAATTGCAGCCACCAAGGGTTGTCCACTTGGGCAGGGCTGAGACTGGGCATGGGGACAGCTAGTGGCTCTGTGGCTCTGGCCTTTCCCCAGCTGGTCCTGGCTGCCATCCTTGGAGGCACAGACCCTCCTGGCACTGTCTCCACCACCCCGGGATTCTCTCAGTGGCTGAGCTGGAAGCCTGGGTGACAGTAGGGTGGACACCCTGCTGCAGCAGGGCCATGAGGAGACACTGGGGAGGTCGAGGCACGTCCGGCTGGGTACTGGGCACTACAGCCTGAGTGGGTCACAGGGTCCCTCAGGGAGACTGCACCATGCGCTTGTGGGTGTCGAAGATGTAGCGCTTGAACGACAGGTTGAGCCCCACGTGCTGTGCGGGCTCGGGCCTCTCAGCCCCCTCTTCCTGCTTGGCCGCCTCCCCATGGCCTGCCCGGCCCCGCTTCTTGACAGCCATAGTCAGGATCTTCTTGGACTCAGGACTGAGGCCACCTGCAAGGGTGAGAAGAGACCCCATCACTCTATCCACCTGCCTGCCTCCTGCACGGGCACCTTGCTGGCCCAGTTCGGCCTCCCATCCCGTCTCAGCAAAACCCAGCCTCTGGCCACAGCCAGGAGAGACCCTGTGTTCCCCTAGACCCACCAGTGAGCTGAAGGCCTGGGGCTTGGACACGGAGGCACAGGGCTCGGGACTCACCCAGAGTCACGCATTTCATGCAGAGCAGGACTAGGTTTGCAGGGTCCCTGAGAAGGGCAGGGAGGAGAGCCTGGCCTCAAGCCCTCTGGTCAGCTCCGCCAACCCAGTGTTCCTAAGTCTGCGCCCTGTGGATTTCCTGCCTTGCACCCACCGTGTGCCTCTGTCCTGTGCCTTACCCCAAGCTCCTTCCAGCCTCTCACAAGCTTTCCCCTCTGCTGGACACTCTTCCTGTTGCCAATGGGACAAGTCCCATCACCCTCACGAGGGGCCACAACTGCCCTGTCTGGGGCTTGACTTTATGTGATTTGGTTGAAGGTCCATATTCATGGCATTCGCCATGATGTTTTAATGTCCATACACACTGTGGAGTAATGAGAGCAAACTAATTAACAGCTCTGTCACTTTACACACTTATTTTCCGGATAAGAATATTTAAAACCTGCTGTTTTAGCAAGTTCAAGTCTACGTTATACACTAACATCCACCGTGGCCACTGTGCCACTCACAGCTTCCTGACTTTACTCACCTTGTCCAGCAGGATCTTTGTCCCCTTTGACCGACACCTCCCAGTACCCACCGCCCCAGGCTCTGAGGGCTGCCCATCCTCTCTGCTTCTATGGACCAGCATCAGTGTGGTCATGTGGCATCTGTCCCGTGCCTGGGCTGGGCTTTAAGAAGCTCTGCTTTGCAGGCTATTGGTGGGGGGTACCCCAGGCTGTGGGAGTGGATGCCCTGTGCCCCAACCAGCCGTACCTGGAGCAGAGCACCTTCATGGCAGTGGTATATGGGAGCCCATGGGAGTGTGGGGTGAGTGCCCCGAGGATGGGCTCCTGACGACACTGGTTCTGATGAGGATGTGGGCAGGGGGCTCTGCAGCTCCAGCCATTTAGAAAGGTGGCAAGGAGCCGGCTGGAAGGGATGATGGGCTGGTCTCCTTCCAGCAGATGGGAACGAGGCTGCTGGTCCCTTCAGGCCCCTGGGCCACGGGAGGGCTGGGACAGGTGGCTGTTAACCATGAGGGACCCGTCCCTGGTGGCACAGGCTGAGTTCTGTGGGCCTGCAGGCCCCGTGTTTGCTGCTCCCTCTGAATGGGGTGCAGGGTGTGGGGTGTGGGAGGGCCCGGCCGGTGCCCTCGAACAGCGCCAGGCCGGCAGGTATCTGTGCCTGTGAATCAGAGCCGCACCCTCCTTCTGCAAACAGAGAAGGTGGTTGGCACCAGACCCCGACCAATGACATGGGCGACCTGCCTCCCTCTGGTGCCAGGAGGTCTGATGGCCGAGGAGGCAGGGGCTCCCCAGGGTCTGAGCCAGCTGGGGAGACAGGCGTGTCCCAATCTTGGTTCATGTTGCCCGGTTGTGCTGGCTCTTGTTACACAGCGCAGCTCCATCACAGAGCAGGCCGAGCTGCAAAATCTATTAGTTCCTCTGCTCTGTGTGGCCTGGCCAGGAAACAGCCCCACCAGCAGGGGACCAGCCACTGGTGCTGGGATTTGTGGAAATGTCACTAGGAGTTGCTTGTATTCTTGGTGGTCTTTTTCCTCCAACAGGGGGCAAGTGGAGCGAAATGCCCAACAGGGTGTCAGGGGCAGGGTGTTCTCCAAGCCACCTGGGTCTCCCCTGGGGACCCTCTGGGCGCACCGCAGGCTGGCCTGGCTCCCATGGCATTTACCAGTCTGAGAAGGGCAGACAGTAAACAGCCAGTGAGATAGTCAGATAGCGCACAGGGCTCAGGAACCAGCCTGACTCGTCCCGATTGGGGCGGCGGCTTTGAAGGAAGAACACTAGACCCAAGGCCAGAGGACAGGGACTGCCGCAGAGATCACAGGCAAGGACCTACAGGCAAAGGGCACCCGAGAGCCAGGCCCTGGAGGCGCCTGTGTGCCGGGCACTGTCGGAGCAGGGCCCAGAGCTGGGTGCTGAGTGGCTGCATGCCTCGTACCTGCTCCGCCATCCTCTGTCCGGAGTCCTCGTGGGATTGCCCTCAGTATTTCCCTTACCACCAGTCTTCTAGTCACCCCAGCAGGCCCCAGTGCTCAACACTGTCCCCAGTGTCCCAACACCGCCTCATGCCCACCTTGTAGCTGTATCTCAATACTCCCTGGCCCCCAACACGACACTGTTCCTACAGTTCCTGGCATTTCTTCCAGACACTGCCATTGTCCCATTCTAATGACTGTCATCCATCCCTGCTGCAATGAGACGTCCTCCCACACAGGGATTTCTGTCTGGTCACTTGCTGCTGTCACTCAACACCTGAATAATCTGCGGCTTGTAGGTCCTCAAGAGAGTACTTCCAGCCAGGACCCCTCGGGCTGCAGGGAACCCACAGGCAGGTGTTTCAGAGGAGCCTGTGTGACAGTCTCACCAAGGGCCACCATGGGGACTGAGAGACCCTTGCTGGGGACAGGCCTGGTACACAGAGGAGCCCCACAGCACCCACAACGTGGTGGCCTTTGGTCCCCACAGCCGGAACTCACGGCTGGGGCAGAAGATCTTGGAGCTCACCGGGCTGTGTAGCTGTGCAGGGGCAGTGCTGGGTGACCCTAATTCCTGTTCCTACCACAGGAGAGCTGTGTAGTCTGTGAGGTCACAGAGGGGCTCTGTGACAAGGGCAAACAGGATGAACCCAGGTACACTTGCTGTAGCAAAATGATGTTTTATAGGGGGAAATTCAACACCTTATGAGCACGAGGGGGACACAAAGGAATTCAGAAACGCAGCTCCGGGTACAGGGAGAGGACCGGGAGGCTGTACGTCCGGCCGCTAGGCTTGGGAGTGTGTTGCCAGCTCCATTACCTCCCCCTCCCACTTCTCTGTGCCCCCTCAGGCTCCTGCTGTGATCCAGTTCTCACAGAAAACATCTCTTGAGAGGCCCAGCAGTGCAGCCCTGGTGCCTGGTCCATTGCCCGCCTGGCTCCAGGCTGGAGCTGGCCGAGTGCACAGCACTCAGGGAGTAGGAGAGAAGGGGCAGAGGCAGGGGCAGTGGAGGGGCCAGCTTGGTCCCCAGGGCCTGGCCAGGGTCTCAGAGTCACCACTGGGCTCTCAGCGCCTTGGCCAGGGGCCCTGCATCCATTCCTCTCCCGTCTGCCTGGGAGGATGGGGCTGCAGGGCACTGGGGGCTCATGGCTCTGACTCTGCACCAAGTGTGTTGTGAGCAGTAATGCACGGCACAGGCCTAGGAACGGCTCTCATTCCTGCAGTGCCCCCGTCACCGGGGATGGCTCCCGCCTCCCTCCTGGATCCTCAGCCATGCTGTCCCCATCCAGCCTGGGCTGTCTGCGAACCCGACTCTGGCACCTTGGAAGGCGTTGCCTTGTGGGCCCAGGCTGAATGCAGTCACACAGTGTGAGGACGAGCAGTGCATGCGCACACATCCCACGCGCACACATGTACACCTGGAGGTGCAGGACGGCAGGCGGAGGCCAACAGGCACCTGCCTGTACTCAGTGGCACTGGGTCACCAGGTGGCCCGAGTGTGATCCTGCCCCTATCTGAGCATCCTTGGAGCCCAGACCCCAGAGTGGGGGGTGGGAGGGGCAGCCGTGACCTCGGGGCAACGCTACCACCCAGGCTTCCCCAGGGACACTCAGGGCCGGACAGCAGCTCCACACAAAGGCACAATGGGCAGAAGGCGGCCTGGGTCCTGGCTCAGGCTGGGTAATCAGGGAAGAATGTGCGAGGCCAGTGCCTCACAGTGTTTCCCAAGCTCGGCTGCAGAGCCACCCTGACACCCATCAAAGGCCTGCAAATTGCCTCCGGTCCCTGGAGTAGTTGCTTTCATGTTGGGGCCGGGCTGGGACAGAGGCCTCCTCGCTGGGAGCAGCTGGCACCCCCAGTGGGAACCGAACCCTGGCAGGCAGCTTGGGGTCACTGGCCCCCTGGTGGCCCCCTGGGGTCGGGGTCACCGCAGTCACTCAGTACTTCCTCTGCAGTCACAGCTGTTTGGAGGGGCTGCAGTATCAGGGCGGGAAAGAGTAGAGTGCTAGGCCGGGGTGCTTTAGGAGCTGAGCCGCCTCCTGGGTGGGCAGGCAACTGGGCCCAGAGGCGGCCGCCTGCCACTGCCAGGTGGTCCTGGGTGTCACCAGGGTAGCACAGAGCCCTCGTGAGACCCCGAGTCTGCCCGACAGGCGTGGTGGGCTGCGGGGGGCAAGGCTGGAAGCAGGCCTTGCTGGAAGGAGCTGGGTGCCAGGCACAGGGAGGGCCAGGGAGGGCAGGACACAGGGTGGGGTGGTCCCCCACCTGGCAGGAGACCAGCTGGGATGAACCGAGGTATGGACCTGCCCGGGGTGCAGCCGGAGCCTGGAGCGCAGGGTCCCCACCCCACGCAGTGAGGGTCTCTGTGCCCATCCCAGGCGTCCGCTCCTTGTGATTGCAGCTCCCGCTTTCTCTTTCCTCCCCTTCCCTGCTATGGATGCCGTATGTAAACAAAGATGCAATTTGCTCTAAAAAGATAAGGTGATTAAGTTTTTATCAGACCTGTATTCTGCTGTCCCCACAACAAAAGGAATTAGGGGAAGGCGGCGCGGCAGCCCACGGAGCGAGTTCTGGCTGAGGCTCTGGAGCGCACACTTGACGGTGGCTGCGCCCCTGTGATTGGGCAGAAGCCGCGGCAATGGGCGCCGCACCCCCATTTTGATGTCTTAATGTTGCCTAATTCCTCCTTTAATTTATATTAAGCTTCTTAGCAGCAATGATGAATTCTTCAAAAAACAAAAAAGGGCCCTTTGCAGAAATCTTCCCCACGCCATGTAAATTGAAATTATAACGTAGTCGAGGCTTTGGAGATTGGGTGCATG